GCGGCTGTTAGCAACAATACGAGCTTTAGAGCGAGAAAAAGAACCATCGGCATTGAGCTTCTTTTTAAAAAGCCAAATACAATTCACCAAGTTAGCAGTGGGAGGTCGTGGCATAAGGATCCAAGTCTGATTAGTAATAAGATCAGAATGTTCTTCTTGCATTGCTTTAAGCCAGTTGGGATCTTGAAATTCCTGTAGATAATTACGGTGAAGAGGAGAAGAATATTCAACATGGAGATTAAGTTTTTAAATGGGTTTCGTGATTCCCCATTTCGCACGAGTGAGCATAGGGTGTTGAGAGGATGTGGGAATCGGAGTTTGGACAGGAGGGGTATTTGGTTGAGATAGATCCGGAAGCAGATCAACAGCTCCGGTGGAAGGTTGTTCGACAATAGAGGGAGAGAGGGGGCGTCATGAACATCTGAGGTGTTTGAAGTAGTGTTTTCGTAGATGGGATTGTCACGAATAACGGAGGCAACGGAAGAAGGAAAAGTAACAAGAGTGATGTTGTCAAGAAACGAATAAAAGGGAGAGATATTTGGTGTAATGGAACCAAAAGGAAAGACCGTTTCATCAAAAACAACATGTCTTGAAATGATAATTTGCTTATAATAGAGGTCGAGACATCGATATCCCCTATGGTTGGAGGGATAGTCGAGAAAGAGACATGGTTTTTGATTTTGGAGAGAGTTTATGTGAAGTGACGATGTGAGGATAACATAAGCACCCAAAGACCCGAAGATGAGTATTTGATGGTTTTTGATTGTAAAGTTTTTGAAACGGAATTTCATTTTTGATAGTAGTAGAGGGAAGGATGTTTAATAAGTGAACAACCTTGCAAAGAGCTTCAACCCAATAGCCGGGAGGAAGACGAGCATGAAAAAGAAGGGTACAAACAACATTGTTGATTGTACATAACATACGTTCAGATTTACCGCTCAACATTGGGTATGTGAGGACACAAAAAATGCATACATATACCGTTTTGATCACAAAAAATGATGAAACTGATTGTTATCAAATTCACCCCCATTATCACATTGAAAAGCTTTAAGTCAGTTTTGAATTGATTGAGAATAAGAGAACGAAAGTGCATAAATTTTGAAAATACCTCAGCTTTAGCACGAAGGGGATAAACCCATAAATAATGAGTGAAGTTATCAAGAAAAATCACATAATATTTAATGCCACTGATACTAGTATAGGAGATGTCCACACATGAATGAACAATTTCAAAAGGATATAAAGTACTAGAAGTAGATAAACTGAAAGGTAACTTGACATGTTTTCCCAACTGACATGCATGACATAGGTTTGACATTTTATTTTTTGGACATGAAATAAAACTACTATCAACTAATTGCTTGAATACATGTTGACCGGGGTGACCGAGACGCTGATGCCAAAGAGACGGAGAAAGGGACACAAGTGCTTGAGGAGTCAGAGTGGTGACAGGGTAGAGATCACTCGAGCTATCACATCGCATGAGAATTTGACGGGTATGCAAATCCTTCACAGAAAAACCAAATGGGTCAAATTCAATAGAGCAAATATTTTCACGAATAAAGCGACACACAAAAATAAGATTCTTTATGATTTGAGGAGTAATAAGGACATTTTTTAAATGTAAAGTATGATAAGGATTAGAAAGCGGGATAGAAGAATGACCAGATTTGGTTACAGGAATTTCAGATCCGTTCCCAACTAAAACAAATGCATAAGAATTTTGATTATTAGTGACACTATTGAGAATACCTGCATTCGCATGAAGGTGAGATGAAGCACCCGTGTCTATAAACCATCCCCCGTTTCTTTGGATCATTTAGCTACATAGTTTTAAATGCGTTAGGGATCGTGGTAGCTTGATCTGTAACAGTAGATGAAAACCAGAGAGCTTGTGGAGATTGTGGGTTGATTAATGCTTGTTGAAACGAACCAGAAGTAGGAGTCAGCCCAGTAAAAAAAGATTGTTGTTGTTGGGTTGGTCCAAGTGTATTGCGCAGCTTACCTTGCTGAAGTGGAGCATGTGAGAACGGGGTTGGAAGTAAACCATGTTGAGATTGTGAAGTTGCTGTCAAGGCTAAGGGATACCAACCAAACCCCCACCCCATCGGAGCCTTTTTTGCTGTCACAGTTGTCCCGACCACCATTCCGTCCACCACGGAATGAATTACGCGACCCATTGTTTTGAGAGATAGTCTCAGCAACAAGAACAGTTTGAGATGACGAATTATCGGAGTGAACATATTGACTTGAATTGAGTTTTTTTGTTGGTCTTGTCACTCTTGTGTTATCTGTTGTTCTTCGCACAATAGCATAGATCTAGTCTCCATGAAGCTAGTAAAGGAGTTTTGTGCCTGATGGTGGTGGCTATGTATTGAAATTTTGGTGACAGGCCATTGAGGGTATAGACGATTAGGGTCCTTTCCGGAACAGGGGCTTCTATGTTTTCAAGGAGATCAGCGAGGGACTTGATATGTGTGTAGAAATCAGCAATAGACGAGTCCCTAATGGTGATGTTACATAGTTCCCCCTCGACTTGGATGGCTTTGGTGTCCTTGTTATCGCGAAACAGTTTTTCAAGAGTCTGCCATAGTTGAAACGCAATAGACTTTCTTTTTAGTGTCATGTGAAGAAGAGATTGAGAGAGGGTACTGTACAACCAAGACTTCACAATTGAATCAACTCGATTCCATTCTTTAGAGTCAGATGATGCAGGAGTTTTGTCATTAGAAGGTTCAAGATGATCAGCCACTCTGTATCCAATACAATGAGTTTCGAAAAACACACGCCATATATCATAGTTCATGTAGTCAAGATCTAGAACCAGGGGGACATCATATTTGATGTTAATCCCGACTTGAGGCTTGTCAGAGAGAGGACGAGGAGCACCGTTAGTCATGATGTAAAGAGAAGGTTAACAAAGAATAGAAGAAATCGAGAGGAAGGAGATGCAGCCGTCGCTAGGTTTATCACAAGGAAGAACAAAGCTTTGATACCATGCAAACGTGATTAATTTCCCATGTCCTTGATTACCTTCACGAGATACAATAAATACAAAGTATAAGAGGGCCAAATACAAAAAAGGCCTAATACATCTAATGGGCTATACAAAATACATAAAGTATGACAATAATAATACACTAACAATCTTTGGATCTATTTGTAACTTATTATTTTATATTAGAACTATGTTTTCCAATACAAGATGTATAAAAAAATATTAATCGACAATTATATAAACTATTTAGTAACAATTAATGTTAAAATAAAAAATTATAAACATAAAAGATGCATATTTGACAAATTAAGATGTATATCAAATTTATTTTTATATATAAAAATGTTGTTTGAAAATAAATAAACATGACAAAAAAAACTCATTTCAATTTTATCGTTTAATACAATTAAACAAAATAAATGAGTCTCAAAAACATTTATTTAGTGAATTTCTGTTCTACCAGTAAAATCAAATATATTTCCCCCTTAATTATCGTTCTCTTTGTTTCCATTATCGGTTGCAATTCTATCTCTATACCAATTTACCAAACATGCCTTTAAATCTTACAAACACTAAAATAATACAAAAAATACATCATCTTCATGTGTATGTATGTGTAGTTTTACGAGCAATGTTTTAAAAACCGGTTTGAACCGGCCGGTCGAACCGGTTGGACCGGGACCGGGGAAGGGAACGGGATCAACTATCACCGGTTTTACATCGATTTCTGAACCGGATTGAACCGGCCGGTTTTTAGAAAAACCTGGTTGAACCGGTCAAAATAAACCAGTTGAACCGTTTTAATCAAATAAAAGCACATAGAAAAGAACCATTTTCATAATAAACTTTGGTGATTTTTTTCCAAATGTATGTATTTTTCTCTAAATAAAAACATACGGTAAATGTTATAAAGCTTTTTTGATGTGTTTGTATTCATATAAAACTATATTTTGTTTCGGTATTATACTTTATTTTCTTTTTGACATATATTGATTGATGTAAACATTAAAACTTATGGTTATATGTTTTATGGTTATATGTTGTTTTAATGTATTTGAAGTGATCTACAACTTATTTTTATGTTTGAACTTGTAAACGTCAAATTAATGATTTATATATGTATGTATGTATAGGAAAATAGGAAAAAATATGAAAATGATAGAAACCAGTGGACCCGGCGGTTGAACCGGTTAAACTGGTTGAACCGGAAACCGGTCACTACTATACCGGTTCAATTAAAAAACCGGTTTTTAAAACATTGTTTACAAAGAGACTTTTGCTGGGTGGGCCGCGATTAAATGCCCGTTTTATCATTTTAGTAAGGGCACTCATGTATGTAGCCCATCTACTCTTCTACCTTATTGTTCTATTCATCTCATCGCATCTGCCCAATTATCTTTTGATTCTTTTGCAAAGCAGAAGGAATTTTGCAATCCTTTGTTTCGATTTTTTTATTTAAATCTTGAAGCTTTGATCCTCCTTTTTGAAGTCCACCGTTTTCAAAGACAAAACGTACTCCAAAACATCATATATTGATCAACTTCTACATTTTTTTTATCTAAATTTTGTTACTGTTGGTGTCAAAACCCACACAAATCTCAGAACACTAGTATAATATTCGATGATAAATTGTTACTTGATCTTATTATCGTAAAACCATATTTTTAAATTTCAAGTACATGAATGTTACTTTAACTTTAAACTTTCATTCATATTTCCTTATTTATAGAAATTTCCAACATAGCTATGTCACAATTAAAAAAAGAAACTGTAAATATGTGGAACGGATGAAAGAAATGGATTAATCCAATGATGGTCTAATATGTAATTTATCTATTTATTCTTACATTTAAAGTATGCATTTAGTATACTAACATGATCAAGTCGAGTTCAAGTTTTAACCCAACCCTCATATGTTTTTAGATCCATGAAACTTGACAGTTAATTCAGGTAATCATCGTATAACCTCAATATATCGAGTTTAAGATCACCCAAATAATTGGCAGAAATAATATACCGACAAAATTTTACGTTTGGGGTAATTTTCTGGACAAACCAGAGAAATCAAGAACCAATATTTAAAAATGGTTCAAGATCGACACCTTAATTACAAAAAATATCCCTACCATTTATTTAATCCTCAACCTAATTCCCCTTCTAATAATCTCCCTCAATCACTCAACTCGATTCAATTCCCATTTTCTTCATTTTGATTATTTTCTTTTATTCTTGATGCTGGCGACACATTTTTGGCACCCCGATCACGAGACTTCGATTTTAACCTTAAACCGACCCCAAACATCTTGCACAAACTATTCCAACTTATCCCTTTACTCTTCACAATCTTATCGATCTCTTTCTTCATGCTCAAACACTCTTTTTCAAGCTCAGAAACACGGCCCCGCATGTCATCCACCGCCACGACCCGCCGATCGCTTCCTCCGGTGGTCAAAAGATGCACGTTCCCACTTTCCGGCAGCACCATGCTGCTGCTCAGGTGTGTCTGTGAATTGTAGTTGTCAGAGACATATAAGCAGCCGGCGACAGATGTCCGCAGCCGGAGCTGCTCGAAGAAGAGAACCTGAACTATGAAACGGAGCGGCAATCTCTCATTCTGGGCGGCGTGTGTGCTGGCTTCTAGTGACAGTTTCTGGCAGTCCATCAACCGGCAGAGTAGCTCCCGGTCGGAATCTGTCAGCCATGGATGTGCCTGTAAAATTACGATTACAAGGTTTCGTCATTTGACTTCGAACTTCCGCTTCAAAATTTTAGAAATTTCTATGACTAAAATTGAAAAAAGATTTTGTCCCTCTTTATATGATTGCAAATGGTACGTATAAGAAAATCTTTATCCTGAATTTCTAACAAATTCGGTCTCAATTTTGACTTTAAAAGTCAACTGTACCTTGAGATATATATCTATTGCTCGATACATTCCGTCATCGATTGACCTTGCAAAATCAGGGACAGTAGCAGCCAAAGATTGAAACTTTTCGAGCTTTAAGTTAACATCGGATGCCACCTCAGCAAGATAGTTGTCGATGAGATTAGCCACCATCGTCACGGGTGTAAGCGAGTGAGAATTCCTGATTAAATCATCATCATTGTCTTCTAAGCAACCCGAACCAGTAATTTCACTTCCATCTTGATCGCGATCTCGATCTGCAACCATGAAATGATCAAGCATCCTTTGAACACAATCGATCTCATAAAGTGTCTCACTTGAATACCCCATATTAGGAATGAGAATATCTTCAATGGAAGCTTGATCCATCTGCAACCCGACCCGTCTTTCCAAATTCTCAAGGCACAAAGGGCTACAATGTAAAATCATCGCTGTTTTTAGCAGCCTGAGGAGGAGTTTCGTGGGAACAACACCTTTTTGACTCGGGAGCAAGTCAACTATCTCTTCAAGAAGAGTCTTTTGATCCAAATATGAATCGAAAAAAGAAGAAAGATTCACATTTGGAATCATCGATTGTCTACCAAGTAAAGGAAGATGCTTTTTTGCATAGAACATGAGTGATCCAGCTATCCTTTCTTGATCCAAACTTGTTGATTCAATGGCTAAGATGAATCGTCTGTAAAGAGGTAATTTCAACCCTGAAACATCTTCATACCACCAATCTTGATTTGGTGAAGAACTGGTTTGGATTCCATTCCAGATTACAGTAGCAAAAGGGTTTTCTCTCATGCTTGAAACTGGCCACCCTAATAAATCTTTATCTGAAGAACAAGCTTTCAATGCAAGAGAATCGATGCATCTTGAAACAATTTGAAGATCCTCTGCATATTCCACCACTTCTTCACATGATTCCAGTGCTTTTAGGGTATCGTTCCAGTTATCAAAAATTTCATTAAGGAAGTTTTCGGTTTGACTGATGAGATTTTCATCTCCATATTCTTCGGTCATTTGAAGATACTCGGATGCACAACGAAGATGAACTACATTGTTTGAGTTAAGTTCTAGTTTGACACCATAGCAGAATTTAGCAACGAGGAGAAAGCTTTTTGGGCCTCCTGGTAGATCATGAAGTTTAACAACACAAGATCGTTTTTCATCCCCAAAGCTAATCTTTTTTTCATCATCCGAAGAATCTCCAATGAGATTTTCCAATGTTTTGCTTCTAGATAATAACGGAAACTGCAAGTTATGCCAAGAAAAAAGTCAACTCAAACTAGTTACAAAATTCACAAATTTTATTTATTCATCCTACTGTGTATATGATATTGATACTAATAAACCAAGTGACGACCTACCTTGTGAAGATGGAATGAAATGTCTCCAACTTCAATGGTAACATCACTCGGAAGGCCAGAAGAACATGTCCTGCAGATATTAATGTGAAATTTTGTTATGAATTTGATACAAACTTTCTTCCTACGCATAATGATTCTTATAAGCTTAATGCATTTAACAAAATTTTACTGAAAATATGAGAGAATTCCATTCCAAAAGTATTTGTTTTGACCCTTGGATTTCAAAATGTAGGTCTTCTTTTAAAATTAAGGCAGTAACTTCTTCGATCAAAGAAATTTTCCCAGATGTTCTAATTTACTGCATTATTATTCGTTCACACAAAGTATTACTATATTAGACCCACGTCCAAAAAACATCGAGGACGATGCTTAAACATTCATCTCGAAATCCAAGCAAAACCCTTCAAACAGATTAATTAATAGTCAGGATTCAGTTACGAATGTGGATATTAAAAGAAACCCAGAAAACAATTTACATCCCAGAATTAAAAACCCCCAGTAAAAGGGCGTCGAGATTTCACGATTGGGGACAAAAAGAAACTATCGAAATCGAAGAATTCCAAATGTGGGTATCGATCAAAATTATGAATCAATATTTACGATTGACGTGAAATTTAAACACATAACATGCGAAAAACAGAAGAACGACTAACCAGGTTTTTTCGTCCTGATCGAGATGAAAAACCTCTGATTTAGATCCTAACTTCATGCACGCCATCGCCATATATGCGTGGTTTCAGTTGTTCAGTTTTCAAGTGCAATGCGATTGGAAGCGTATATATACATAAATTTTTTAATGAATCGAGTAAAAAAAACACAGTCAGAGTGTGTGATAGAAATGATGATTACCAATGGGGGCAAAGGAGGCAAGGGTAATGAGTAAAAACGCACTCTCTTTCTCTGTCTTGTGGGTGTGGAGGGAGCGATGGTCCCTAGTCTATAGGGAGAAAAATCCAGGGGATAGAAGAATCTGTTCTTGCTGTTGCTTGCATAACTAAATTAAATACAAGTCCCTAACTATTAGTCAACTAGCATTATTAGTCCTTTGAAAACTTTGTTTTGTAAATTTAATCATAAATATTTGATTTCATTTCATTTGGTTTGTAAGGCTAACAACAACATTAAAGAACGTTTTCTTCATTCGTATCCTACATCGTTATGCATTTAAAAACTTTGTTTTGTAAATTTAATCATAAATATTTGATTTGATTTGATTTTAAAGGACATTTTATTCATTTGTATCCTACATCATTATGTGAAGTTTAAGATAGTAACAAGACTCAAACTATATATGATCACTAGGGGTGTTAAAAAATATCCGTATCCGGAATTCCGATCCGAAATTATAAAATTCTGAGTCTGAATTATTCGAAAAATCGGATATCCGAAATTTCGAATATCCGATTTTTCGAAATCGGAATTGGATAATGATTTTCTGATTTTTCGGATATCCGATATCCGAAAATTTTGATTTTAGTTTATACATTATTTGTTATTTTAATTGCATATGTCTTATGATATGAATGTTAGTAACTAAAATATATTCATAATACCCTTAATTAAAAAACTATATTACTTCATATGCCTTTTTAATTTAAAAATATGCATTTCTAGTTTAAAATTGTCATATGCCTTTCCAATTTGAACAAAATTTCAAATTTTTGGATATCTGATTTTGGTTTCTAAATTCATATCCGAAATTTCGGATACGGAATCAGATACCAAAAATCAACTATCTTAAATTTCGGATATCCGGTTATGAACATCCTTAATGATCACTTATAAGACACTAACTCTTATATTATGTAAGATATATATGTAGTTCGATATTGTTTCTCCAAGAAAAAGTTTTTATGAAGATATGAGGGGTCATATCGCATCGATATGAGATACAAAAAAAAAAATTATACTCATTAAATTTTGATTTTTTTTTAAATCAAAATTTCTAAGCTTGTTAGTAACCAAATTTTCTATAAATTTATACCACAATCAGATGAATCTAAATGATAATATACGCCACTCATGCCAACTGAAAGATTAATACTTAGGTGCTTCTTCGTATCAAGAACAATTTCACAAATTTTTTATGAATGTATGATCTTTGATTTTGTGAAAATTATGACAAAAAAAATACAAATTTAAAGAGGTTGAAGAAAAATATAATAAAATATATAATGACTTGATGGGTGATTACGATTAAACAGAAGGATTACATGTCATTAACGTATTTAAAAAAGTTGAGGCATGGTGATATATAAACCCATTAGATTATTATTAGTAGGGGAAATATGGTTTTGTAACTCTAATAATTACAAATTGTCATGTGCGAAAGAGGAGAAGCGAAAGTCGATCAAAGGGATATAAGGAAGAAAGAAACATCAACTAGGGTTTAAGGAAGAATATTTGGTCTTGGTTTCACAGTTTAAAGTAAGATCACATCTATGTTTTGTATTTATTTGTACAAGTAGATATTAGTTGAAACCAATCATTAAATGTGATCTCAGTTCATAGTATACTTATTTGTTTTGATATTCATGTGGATTGATTCAATATCGTGATCATTCCTTACCAAAGAAACCGAAAGATGAATTCAATAAAGGACATCACATATCACCAATGACTATGGTTATGCTTGGCAAACATGTAAGGGGGCGAGGCTACTCAGTACTCATCATTCCTAATGGTTTGCCTACACGCCCCTTATATGAGGTTATGTCATTGGCATGAAAAATCTCCTCCATGTCAACCCTCATATTATCCTCCAATTTCTTTCTAGGACGACATCCCTCTCTCTCTTACCATTAATTACTATTAACTCAACCCTTTTTATTGTCGTTGATGTTAGTCTCCTTATGACATATCCATACCACTTTAAATGTCATTCTCTCAGTTTTTGGTGATTTATGTTACTCCCAATGAGTTTCATATAGTCGTTTATGGTATCCTATCCAACAAACTTCGACCTCAATTTCACTTCAACATCCTCATCTAGCTAACATGTAAAATTCCATCTTCAGTTTCAACAGTACCTTCTTGTCATGCAAGACTCATTAAGCCGCCATCTACTTTAACCGACACGCCTATATGCGATGGTGGTGATGTCTACCTCCACATCCCTTTTGTGCCTCTACATCCCTCTTGTATTGACCATGGACCCTAAATACTTGAAACTCTCCTTTAGTTAAAGAACCAACCGTTATGCATACATATACTCCTTCTTCATTTGCCTTCCCATTAAAATTGCACCAAAAATATTTTGCTTTTAACGATATTTATTCATATGCCTTTCTATTTTATGTCGTCCTACAAGTGTCCAACCGAGCATTCAACTCAACCTTAGACTTAGCCGTCAACACAATGACGTTGGCAAAAGCATACACCAAGATAATTGCTCATGTATCTCTTTAGACATCTCGTCCAAAATCCACTTGAAAGTATATAGGTCGAGAGTCAAACCTTGATGTAACCCAACTTCTATCGGAAATAAGTTTATGTCTCTTAGACTAGGGTTCGAACACATGACGTAGATCAAAAATACATATCACGAATAGCCATGATATATATATAAGAGAAACCTCTCTATCTTCCAAGGTTCTCCAAATTATATTTCGGTGAACATTGTCATAAAAGTTATAACATTATTTTATATCAAACATACATGATAGCAAACGGCGGTGGCCTTCAAATTGGAAGAGTTTTGAACCTTATGACTTATTTTTAAAAAATAAATAAATAATAGTAATTTAAGAATAAAAGAAAATAATGATAAAAGTTATGCATGGATGTTGCGCCAAGCGTAGATGAAGATGATCAGAAGTTGTCTGCATGATATGTTAAGTAGACTGGTGACCTGTAACCTGTAATAGTCTATCCCAATGACTAAATCAATACAATCGTAAAGTTTAAGGTCTAATTTAACACGATTTGTAATTTAGGGACTAAATGAAGACAAACCATATATTATATTTTAATACCAATTTTATCATTAATTCTTAAAATAATTATGAAATTTGGTAGAAATGTTCAAACCAAACATTTATAGAATTTAGGATAATTGATTTGATGTCTAACATTCGTGCTATTATATACATAAATTAATATTAAAAATGACACATACGTCAAACATCATGGTTATTTGATTTACGTTCTTTTGTAATGTTAACATAAAACATGTTTGTTAAAACTATTATTTGAGAACCGTTCTTCAATAAAAATACAAACACTAACTATATACAGTAATTTTAATTTATTTTTAAGCGTAACATTAGTATTGTTATTTTAATTATGTTTTTTAATAAATTTCTTATCGGTAACCGGGTTGAGGAGGTCATACGTTGTCGGGTCATGTGCGGGGACCAAACCAAGCCTTTTCTCAGTTTCTGAAAAAAGGAGGAAATTTAATTGTTATTTAAGGACCTCGAGTCTCGCAATTCACAATTTTAGTCCTCGCAATTGCAAGTGGTTTTGGTTTAGGTGATTATTTAATTAGTGGCAGAATTTCGTATATGCCCTTACTAAACATGTAAATATCGTATTTGTCCGGTCTAAACTTTAAATATTGTATTTGTCATTCTTAATGTTTTTTAATATCATATATACCCCAATCTATTTTTTTTAATAATTTTTAACATTTAATAATCTTTTTTTATATTTTTAAATAATTAAAATTAAAATTAAAATAAATTGACCATAATGCCCTTTATTCTTAATTCCCTTCTCGGACACATCAATTGTATTTCTCCCCACCCCTAAATCCCAATACTTTATGCATCACTGTCGATCGCAAGTTTCCCCTGTGTTTACAAACATTCATCTTCTATTATTGAAGAATTCTCTATCTGGGTTTTCTCCAATTGCACGTAATTTCGATTAATTAGCTGGTTCATCATCTTTGCGTGTACACATACGTAACTATCTTCTTCTCGCTGTATCTTGATTCTTCCCTTTGAACATTCAATAACGATTGTTGGGTTGATAGAAAATGGCAAAAAGTGTGGCGTTGAATCGAGTGATTCCAAGCAAAGGGTTGATGAATCAATAACAAAAGAATAAGGAAAGGGGAAGAAATTATGGAAGAAGATGAAGTATCAGCTGGTTGAATACCACTCGTTGCCTGCGTATATGAAAGTGAAGAAAAAACAGATGGATTCTTGTTTGTATGATGTTATTGACTGGTGAGAACTCCATTCCAGATTACAGAGGTTTGTGTGATGTTATTTACTGGTAACGTTGCAGTGGGAGGGGGCTTGTATGGGTTATGACATGAACAAGCTTTTATAACTATAGAATTTATGCAGCGTGAGATGAGGTTGAGGTTTTCTGCATCTGAAAGAACTTCTTCACAGCTTTCAAGAGCATCTATGGTGTCTGACCAGGTAGTGAACACTTATTGTAGGAAGGTCTTTGTTTATGTGATTAGGTTTTCATCTCCATAATCATCTGTTATGTGGAGGTAGTCTGAAGCACATCGAAGGCTGATAACATTTTAGGAAATGAGTTCTAGCTTTACTATAACAAAATTTGGCTATAAGTTCAAATGCTTTACATCCACCAGGTATGTGATGTACTGCGATGAGAGGTATTAACAGGAACGAAAACTAAAGATAGGGAAGTAGGCATCGATTGTAAGTAATTTTAATATGTGCTGTATTGGAATTTAGAACTAAGGGCATTATTGTCCATTTATAATGTTTTTTTAATTATAATGATTTAAGATAATGAAAAAGAATTATAAACCAATAAAAATTATTAAAAAATAGATTTGGGTATATATGATATTAAAAAACATTAAGAATGACAAATATGATATTTAGAGTTTAGACCGGATAAATACGATATTTAGATGTTTAGTAAGGGCATATACGAAATTGTGCCTTAATTAGTAGACCTCTAACACATACATAAATACATAATTACATATGCACAATATATAGTTATAGGACGACAAAGTCTTCGA